CAACAATCGCTGTTCGTTTCACATTTCCTCAGTTCCTCAGTTCCCCAGTTCATCCGTTTCCAGAAGCTGTGCGGCACAACACAGTCGTCGCCTCGCCTCGCCTCGCGTCGCGTCACGCGATGATAAGCATAAATCGAATTTGTGCATGAAAATTATTATTACGATTATCTATATACAATATATTCAGTACGCATTATGCTGGTCAGCTGGTGGTGGTAGGCGCAGGAGGAGGGGCTTGGCAGGGGTTTCGGTTAGTTCAAGTCCACGTCCGTGTCCGTGCTCAAGTCCGAGTCACAGTCAGAGTCAGAGTCAGTGGGCAGGCCAAATGCGGGAAGATTCGTTTGATTGATAGTAAAACGAACTTGAAATATTTGTATTATATGCAAGAATCTTGTTGAGTATAAGCCGTTTTTGGAGCGTAATGCATTCATTTTTGGAATATGTCACACTATTAGATAAGGCAAAACTCTCACCTTGTAACTCTCACATACTAAACACATTCTTGTCCAGAATTGCTCGATGTATTGAAAATATTGAAAGTGGAAAATATTTGCATATACACGATGCGGGCTACATTTATTTTCTACCCACAATTGCTATCTACCAAATATGTTTGGGTATCTTTCATGCGTGGGGTCAAAGTTATTTGTACTTTGGAGCTAGGCTAATCTCAAAAATGTTTCTAATTTGAACCAAGTTATTTTTGCAATAAATATAGTTCTTTTTGGGACCTTAGTTCTAACTATTATCAAGCCTTATTATTTGGTTCGAGTCTTGCCGCAATGCAACTAATCCGTTTTAAGTTCAGTTAGCGGTCAAAATAAAATTAGTACGACGAACTAAACTTTGTTTGGCTCGAATCTGGTCGCACCCTTGATTGATACGCATAGCTCAGCACTTGCAGACAATGCTCGCAATGCTGCAAGTCGACTACAAGTGTTATTTGAGGCTTCAAGACACTTAGCACAGCATCGAAGAGCTGTTCAGCTGCCACCTGCCATTTGCAACAGATAAAACAGAACTCTTCCCAGGCTGGGGCTGTGCGCATTCCACGCCATTTCCGATTTAATAACATGAATTTTCTCAGCTGATAGTCGACACTGACGATATATATATTTTTATGAATTTGTCTGTTGTTGTTTTGGTTGTTATTTTTTATATGCTTGTGCACGACAAGTGTTCGGATAAATATTAACAGCAATAACAACTGACCGACTAACCGCAGTAATAAAAAAATTGATTTCGGTTTGTCGGCGACATAACAAATACAACATTCGTTGTTGTTGCATTTTGTTTGTTTGCTCGATAAACATTTTTTTCTGGTGTTTTTATTTTTTATAATTTATCTATACATAAATAAATATATATATAAAAATATATATATATATTTTTTTTTGACCACCAGCGATAAAAAACGCGCGATGCCGCGGAACAAACCACACACACACATAATGCGGTTCGTTATATTTTGTGTGACTTTTCTTTTAGTTTCTGGGCCCTTGAAGAGGGTATTACAGTTTTGTCAAGAACTGTGCAGTCGAAGCCAAAAAGATTCGCCATTAAATGATAAGCTTAAATATATGCATGGTTTAATAAATATATAGTATTTAATATATATCATAGTTCATAGTGTATTTAACTCTTCTGCGTGCAAAAAAAGACACAAAAAAGAGAATTCTTATTTTTTTTGTGGGCAACACTCGCCATGTTCTATATAAGTTATTATTATTATAATTTTTGTCGTTGTTTGGCTAAGCTATTTGTTTTTGTTTATTGCGTGATAAAAAAAAAACGAACGTGTCATTTCTTTTTCCCTTTAATATATACATACAGCATATATAGATAAAATATAAACTAAATCAAAACGGAAGTGTTTTAGATTTTATTATTTGTGGTTTGGCATATTTATTTTTGTGGAGCTGCTAATTTGCTAGCCACTTTTATCGCATAAACATATATATATATGATTTTTTCTTCTTCTTTTTTATAACATACATATATTTGTTGTTGTTTGTGGCATGTTTAACCCATGGCTGGCCCGCTGCTATTTTTACACGCTCTTCGTGCACTTTGTCTATAAAAATGCACTTCTGCGAAAAAATAAACACGCGCTTCGCCAAGACAAACAAATGCGCTAAAGAAGAGCGAAGCCAAGTGCCTGGGTGGAGGAAGTGTGTCGGGGTAGGTGTTGGAGGGTGCTTCTATTAGAAGTCCAGAGACCATAGACCAGATCAGAGCCAACAAGACACTCTCTAACAACAAACAACTGTTGCAATTCCATTTAACATAATTTTTGCACAACTGTCGATCACACTTGCTTGCTTTCTATACGCTATACAGAGGGTATTTGCGTTTTGTTATGAGACTTGCAGATGAAAAAGGACATATCTTCGCTACCAAATAAATACCATATATATACACACAAATAAGCTGTGTATTCGGCTTCGACTACAAATACTTTATAGACAACTCACATTATCAAACAGCTTGAAAATTGAGTTGTAATAGTAAAACTGTTGTTTGAACAATATCAGCAAGGGTATTTCATCTTCGGCATGTCTGAAATAACTATTCTTGCTGGTGTTTTTTTTTTTCCTTTTTGAAAAGTTTTTTTTGTGTTGTTTTTTTGGGGCCTGTTGCCCGACGGCGTCTAAAAAATATTGTCGCATATTTATGAACATGTGTAACAGATAAATCTGAATCTTTGGGCGCACACGTAAGTGATTTAGTTGTCAGGCGAGTGCATTTATTACAGCTGTGCATGGGCTGTCTCTCTGGAGCTGCTCAGCATATGGCCGGTCGTCCATGAGTGTTAAGTGTGTGTGCGCGCCGCCAGGGGGCGCTAGTAATCAAACAAATGAGCTAAACAAAACTCCGGCGTGGAGAATTTGCGGGAAATCGTTTTTAGAGCCGCGTAGCATTTGGCGAAAATAGCATTTAATGGATTTCAAATAAAAAGAAAATATGAAATGAAATGAAAATAAAAGAAAAGAAAAGAAGAGCAAATGTAAGCAAAAGCCTAGCTATAAGTGGCAGGTAAGCAAGCGAAAAGCAAGCAAGAGAGAGGGAGAGGGAAAAGGGCATGGGCTAAGAGATTGTGTCTGCTGTGTGCCAAGTGAAGTGATAACACATTAAAGAAATGCAACGAGGGGTGCGGTGCGGTGCGGTTCGTTTCAATTCTCTTTTTAATATTTGTGTTGCAGCGACACCTAGGGGTTGCTAATGGCAGTTACAAGCTGCGAAAGATGTCCCGAATGCCTGGCAAGATGCTGCGCTGCACTTAATGGCAAATGATAATGATTGATGCTTAAATGCAACCAGCCCCTAACCAACCAACCCCCTCCCAGTCAACGAATTCGCACGCAAAACTTGCAGCAGGTTTTTATGCTTGGGTTCTAGATTGGGGCTGCGGCTTTTGGGGGATTGGGAAATTGACGCTGGCTGGCAATAAGCAATCATTCAATGTGGGCACAATGGAGACGCGGTTTGCATTAAAGAAATTGGAAAATAAGGAGCGAAGGGGCAGAGGAGATGCATCGAGCGAAATGATGTGGAAGTGATCAAGAGTGTGAGGCAAAGAGAAATATAGAGATAAATGGTAACAGAGATAGAGAGAGAGAGAGAGAGAGAGAGAGAGTGGGAGAGCGAGAGAGAGAGAGAGTGAAAGAAAGGGAGACAGATGGAGAGAAAGAGTATAAAGAGAGAGAGAAAGATAGGGAGAAGGAGAGAGTGTGAGAAGAAGAGAGAGAGGGAGGAATAGAGAGCACACAAGGAATGAAAGACAGGCACTATGATCAGCTGAAACTGAGCACGAAAGTCGTATTTTCTTGAGCTCCTCTTTGTATCGTATCCTTAAACTTTTGAGCAACAGCTCAGAAAATGTTGAATGAACGGCATTTAAAGTTGGCGTAGACGAAAAGAACAAATAGAAAAATCACAAATACGATACCAGCCACTTGAATAGCTTACAAATGCTGAAGCTTGTGTTTTTTTTTTGGGAAGGGTCCTTTCCATGGGCAAGGCCTGCCTTCAAGGACAGCCAAAGACAAACGCAGATGATAGCAAATGTAAACAAAGGCAGACAACAAATTTTAGGCGTTAAAATTGTCATGTCAATATTTTAATGATATCACTTAACACCAAACCAACCAGCCGCCCGCCCGCTGCCTCGCCTCAGCCAGTTAGTCTATAGTCTGCAGTTCAACTCCACCCAATCAAAGTGTCTTGCGCAAAGTTTCATTTTAACTTTTTCTGCACAAAAAAAAAATATACATTTTTTCAGAGCTCTTTTTATTTTGGGAACTTTCCTCGTGGCTTTCGAGTCAAATCCCTTGCATATTTTTTTATCATATTTTTTTTTTGTAGCTGCTGCGTTGCCCTTTCTTGTAGCGTCCTGTAAAGAAGAAGTCAAAAGTCCTTTTATTTTTTTCTGCCTTTTATCGTTGTTGTTGTTGTTGTTGTTGTTGTTGTTGTTGTGCCGGGACGCTCATTTGTTTGCCTTGTATTTCCTTCTGTTTTTTTTTCCCTGTTATTTTTTTTGCACTTGTGTTTGGCTAGAAAATTACAAGAAAAGTGCGCTAAACTGGCTGCGAGGCTGGCCGGCTAGGCGGCTGGGGGCGTGGCGCTGTGGCGCTGTGGGTGTTTTGTTTACTTATGCAAGTGTTTTCTCAATTGTGCGTGCGGACAGTCAGGACATGCGCAAGGGGGCGTGTGGGGAGGGGCTGGTCAGTCGTGCGTCGACGTCGTCGCCATCGTCTGCGGTTGAAATTTTTTCCTTTTTTGGAGGGGTTCAGGGTTGCAACTTAACTCCTTTATTTTATGCTTTGGGGTGGCAACATTTGTCTAATCTTAACGGTTTTACATTTCATTGCGCTGGGTAATTGTCTGGGGTCTGAGGGGCGGTACATGGTGTGGTTTTCATAGACAGTTTATTAAATTAAGTGGAGGAATTTCTAAAAATAAGCAAACAAAACTCTTAGGCGGAGTATGCAAAAACTTACCTCTTTGTCTTTGGCAGCTAATAGAACAGCGGGCTGGTTGTTGTTGTTGTTATTATTGTTGTTGCTGGTGTTGCGCTTTTTGCGCTTCTCATTGTTGTTGTTGTTGTTTGTGTTAGTATTGTTATTGGTGCAATCGTCGTCCTCGGCGCTATGTGCCACATGTTGCTCATTTACATTATTATCACGCAGTGCAACATGTTGCGTTTCACTGTTGTTGTTGTTGTTCTTGTTCTTTCGACTACAGCTATTGTTGCTATCAGTATTGGTGTTGTTGTTGTTGTGATTTTTGCTAACATTTAAACTAGCTTCGACCTCATCCTCTTGCTCATCGGCAGCTACATCGGCAACATCCTCATCATCAGCAGCAGGATGATGCAGATGCGTTGCATTCGCATCGCCAATATTATCAGTTCTTACCAATGGCTCAGCGGCAGCAGCACTGCCCGACTCAGCCACATGGTCCGGCTCTAGCTCCATATCATCGTCATCTAGATCACCATCGGCATGCGCCACATTCGATTGCATGGATGCATCCTCCTCTTCGTCGTCGTCCTCGTCATCGTCGATGCAGTTGCTGCTGGCTGTTGCCTCGGCAACATCTCGTGCTGATTGCTGTTGTGTTGCTGCTACTGCTGCTGCTGCTGCTGCAGCTGCTGCTGCGGCTGTTGTTGTGGTTGTTGCATTTGCTGCAATTGTGTTGTTGGCTACAGCAACGGGCGAGTGCATGGGCGATTGTTGCTGCTGTTGCTGTTGGGCTGCCGCTGCCGCCGCTGCAGCAGCTGCTGCCGCTTCCATCATCATTTGCTTTGCGTGATTGAAGAAGAGCTTGGGATTTAAGCAGGCGCCGCCGACGCCGTTCTGCAGGCTGCTCTGCAACTGTTGCTGCTGCTCAGCGCTCAGCAACGGCGGCGATGGCGACGGTGTGTTTGTGTTGGCCAGCAGATTGCCGCCGTTCTGTTGCAGCGTTATGGCCGCTGCAACAATCGAGCTATTCAGCAGCTTGTCGCTGTCGCTTTCGCTGTTGCCAGTGGCTTCCTCTTCGCCGCTGGCCAATGATGATGCTGCTGCTGCTGCTACTGCTGCTGATTCTGCTGTGTTGTTGTTGTCGCTGTTGCTGTCGCTGTTGCTGCCGGGCGTGCCAGTCGAAAGTTGCTCCTTGAGGGTGTTCACTTCCTTCTCGGCTAGTGTAGCGCGCTGTAGAAAGAGATAGAGAAAGAGAGGGAGAGAGTCTGTGAGAGAGAGAGATCATAAACGACTCGCCTTGCCCCATCGCATTGTTTGGCTGCCCCTGTCAGGCGCATATGTTTTGGGCGCAAACTTTGCTGCCCCTACCCAAAGCCAAAAGGCAACTATCGACCCTCATTAATTTTACTTTTAAAGTCATTACGGGTTAAATTTAGCCAAATTAATACGTTGCAAAACTTTTGCTCCAGCCAACACACACACACACACACACACACACACACATATACTCAGTCTCGCAAAAAACGGCTTAAAAAACATAGGAATTTGCTGGGGTTGGGCCTGCAGGGCCGTCTGCAATGCCCATTCGCATTAGCAACAGCAACAGCAACCAACAGCAGCAACAAACAGCCGACAAATTTATAGTTTATCGTTGGTATCGATAAGCCAACTTGGAATTTTAGTGCTATTAGCGTTGACCTTCGCTAGGGGGTTGCCCCGGGGGTGGTGGTGGTGGGCCACAGACAGACGACGACTTGCTTGAAATCAAATGCCAAATGAGAAATTAAAACAACAACAGCAGCAGCAGCAGCAGCGACAAAAAAGGTTACAAAAATATGCGGTGCAAACTTTTTTGGCAAATTAGTCTGGGCCCAGAACCGAGAGCCTGCCCCACAGCCAAAGCCGAAGCCAGCCAGAGCTCAGCCTGGCCTAAAACTCAAACCCAAACCCAAACCCAAAGCAACTAAACCCAAACCGTAACCCAACCCACAGACCTAAGTCCAGGTCCGGCGCAGTGCCGCAGTGTCCTCTCCTTAGTTCTAGTAAGCGATTCCTACGACTTCTCCTCCGCCTCGGATGGCAATGACTTTTGGGGCACTTTGGCTTCGATTTTCTGTTGATTTGTACTTGTTTTGGTTTTTGAGTTTTGTGCAATTTTATTTGTATAAATACCGGAAGCCAATGGAGCCAGCAGAGGGGGACTGGGCCAGAAAAGCCGGGGCGTTGCAGGCAATAAAGAACTTTGGAAATTAGTCGATGGGCATATCGTTCTTTCTATTGCCAACAGGACTTTCTGGTATGAGCTACAGTTTTCAGCCTTTGCAGCCTTCTTATACCAGTTTTTCCCTCAAATCGATGAGACGACGACGATGACGACGACGTCGGCGGCGGCTACCCCCTGCCTCAAAACTTTTTAAGCAGGAAGTCGTTATAAGGGTCGGGTTAAGGTTGAATTGCAATGCAGTTGCTGTGGACTGGTGAAACGTAAACGATTAGGAAAAGTCCTTTAGGACTTAACTATCTTGGGCTGGGAAAACTTGGTAGGTCAGGAAAATAGTTTGGCTAGGTTCTCTCGGATAGCACAGCTCGAGAGGGTGGAGAACCAACTAGATTGTTGAGACAAGAGTGCTCGATCCGGATCGCTTGTGAAGCTAGACACATGAATTCTAAGATTGGGCGTTACAAATTGGAAGACGTGTTTGTTGGCTGAGATCTAGAGGCTCCAAGTGATATGGACGAGATGAACACAGGTGGGCAGAAATTGAAGAGCTCCAATGCCAAATAGCTCAATGCTTAAGTGTATGATACACGGAAAGATTAAATGGGTTGGATGTGGTTGGATTCTTTATTATGGGCTCATCTGGAGCATAGTTGTTTATGTCAATTAAAGAAAGTGAAGACCAAATAATCTCGATCAGTTGTATAAAAATCAGGTGGGGCACAGGTGTTAAGTGTTCAAGATTAGACGAGTTTGTGTTATCCATGAAAGAAATCCATTAAAGTCAAAGTATTTTAAAACCAAGGCCAAGTTTAATGAGTCCGATTTTATATTTTAAGTCAGCATAATATTGGCTAAAGCTCTTGCTAACTTTATAAAGGTGAAATTTAGCTTGCTTCAGCCTTGAAGAGTTAGGCACCTAGCATATTGTGTATTGGTTTCAAATGCAGCTAAAAGACAAGAGACTGTTTTGTCGAGCCGCAGGAATTTACTGTATTTGTTGTTGTTGTGTTTGTTGTGTTTATCTTTTTTCTTGTAGATGAATGGCCCTCGAGGCATATTTGTCAACATCATCAGCAAACCAAGCGAACCCAAACCCAAACCCAAACCCAAAACCGAACCTGAACCCGCAGCCAAATGTAACGTAAGCAAAAGCCTGAGGCACGGGCGGAATTGGACGGGGACGCAGTCTCAGTCTCGGTCTCGGGCTCGACTCGTCGCATAGATATATATTTATGATATTTAAAAGCTCTTAAGTACAAACAACAGACAAGCGGCTGTTGTGCGCGGCAAGGGAGGCAAGGCAAGGGCTGCGGCATGAGCTCGGGTGGCAAAAGAAGCTGCAGTTTTGTCCTTGCCGCTTGCTGGGGACTTAAAATGCCAGACAGCCTTCAAAAGCGCGCTGGCGCTTAGAACTGGGCCCGACTGCGGCTGGAGCTGGAGGCACTGTGATTTTCATGCTGACTGTTTGTGGCAATGTCTGTGGCACGTTGCTGTTGCTGTTGTTGCTGCTCTGCTGAGCTGCTTAAGCCTGAAAATTGTTTTCATAATGCCAGGCAGTCGATACACAAAAAAAGAAAGAAAAACACACACAACACAAAACAACGTTGAATTTCTTGTTGACTTTTTGCTTGAAAATCAATCAGTGGCTGTCCAACTGTGCTCTGCTCAAACTGTGCGGGGGCGAGCAGTTACCAGGTTTTTGTTTCTTGGCGCGCTTGAAATGGAATCCCCGTGAGAATGGCGACACTTGCCAGCAAAACTAGTTTGGTCAGCAACAGAAACGAACTGCTCTGGCAACGTCAAAGCCTTCAGAGCAAATCAATTAATGTACCGAATGGCAACTGGGAATAGAATCAGAAGCTGGAGCTGGCAAGGACCTGTCTGTGTGTGCGTGTGTGTGCTCAGTGCCCAGCCTTTTGTGGCCCAGTTCGAGCGGCTTAGCAGCAGTTGCCAACCAAATGAGTTAATTAACTAAAATGCGGGTGGCTTTGCTCGTATTATACTTCTTTTTTATTTTTTTGGGTTTTTACTTACACACACATACACACATTAGTTGTAAACTGTAGGTGTGGCAACGGGCAGTTCTATGGGCTCGTTGCACACTTCAAATGGTTCGCCGCCCGCTTTCTACTTCTCTGTGTGCGTGTGTGTGTTTGTGTGTGTGTGTGTGTGTGTGTGTGTGTGTGTGTGCCCCGTCTGTGTGTGTGGTCAGCTTATGGCAGAAAAGGCTTTAGTATTGAGCACCCTTTTAGCGTTTTTTTTTATTTTTATTTTTGGGTACTCTTTTTTTTGGTTTTATTTTTTGATGGGTTGCACAGCGAGTTTCATTTAATATTTTTGCATGTGCCGGCGCCACCACTTCAAAGAAGCTACGAAAAATAGCTAAAAAAAAAAGACAAAAATATAGAAAAAAAAACTGGTCAACACAAAACGCAATGCGCGCCAAAAATGTTAAGTGAAATGTTAATAGCTGGGCCAATGTGCGATGCTGTTAACATTTCTATTAGCCCAAAACGAGCGGGCGCCCAACTGTTTCAAGGGGATTTTGTGAGGAGGGGCTGCACATTTCACTTCAATTGAGCTACATGGAGTCAGCTTGTTAGGGGCGGGCCCCATCTTTGAAAGAGTCTACAAAAATTGAATTAAAAGCTCAAGCTAATGAAATATCTATTCAAGATTCAATTTATTAAAAATCAACATTAAAACTCTAATTGATTTATGCACCTAATTGGATGAAAAGCTCAAGCTCATGTTATCTCTGTTCAAGATGCATAATATCTATGGCATTTTAAATGTTTTAATTGGGTTTGCCAAGTGCAAGCCCCTGAAAACACTAAAAGCTCGCTGTATCTTGTCTTACTTGGAAGAAAGCTATACCTAAAACTAGCAGGAGGAATAAGATTAAGCTTAGCAAGCATCTGAAAGCTTAATTCTTGCTTATTTTAGGCTTAAGCTTAACTAAAACTGCTTTAACGCTACATATTAAGTCAAGCTTTAGGCAGGTATTAGTTTTTCAAGGCTTAAAAACCTTCTTAAAGCTCAAAATGTTCTTAATCTTAATCTTAATATGATCAAGCTTGAAAGCTACGTTTTAAGCTAAGCTTAAAGCACACAGTAGTTGGGTTAGCAAAGAGCTTGGAAAGCTCCTTAAAATTCAAAGCTTGCTTTATCTTAACTGCTTTATCTTAGTCTGCAGCATGCCTTATTGGATCTTAGCTATGCATTACAAATAATATTTTAATTAATTTTAAATTTATTTTTCATGTTGATTGTGGGATCAGTTCTCAAAGGCTTTTTTCAAGGATCAGCCGTTGGGCAATTGAACCCTTGTTTCTTTATTTTTATTTTCTGCACGCTCTCTTCAGCAATTGTTGCAACTATCGCAGGCACATAAGCACTTCAGTGCTTTACAATGCACAACCAAGTCAAATACCACACTCCAGCTACCCCCAAGACCCGCTCTGCACCGCTCAAACCACACTGAGCAACGCTCTCCGTCGCTGTGAGTGCGAGTCGTGCGCGCGGCACATGTCAAAAAGCGCGCACTTTCGAACAGAAACAGATTCCAGCCCTGGGGCTGCAGGGCGTGTGTGTGTGTGTGTGTGTGTGTGTATTATAATGCATAAATACTCGTACTCCTTTGGTTGTCGTGAAGAATTTTTGCATGCGGCATTGTCTCAAGCTGTTTTCTGAAGTGAGTCGAACGGTCGACGCGTTTTTTTTTGTCGCATGGCAGCTGTCTAAGAGAGAGAGAGAGAGAGAGAGAGAGAGAGAGAGTGAGGGGCAGCAGCAGCTGAGCGGGGGGTCAGCAGTCAAAGCGGGGGGAAGGCAGCACTTTTTGTAATTAGTACGAAAGCAAAGTTATGAATTGTGCTTGAAGCTCAGCTCGAGTGCAAGTTGTTGTTGTTGTTGCTATTGCTGCTGTTGTTGTAGGCAGCCGCAACCCCTCAGCGGCAGCAGCAGCAACATCAGCTTGAGCCGGGTCTGGGCAACGTCGCTGCATTGTTTG